CAGCCTTCCCTCCAGCGGAAGCAGGTTCTTTCGGCCCCCCCCCAGCCGTACCCAGCACTGCTGCATTCAGTCAGGCAAATGGCACGCACACAGCTCCATGGACCAGCAAACCAAACTGTGATTTTTGTTGGGTCACCCTTCCAGCTGTGACTGGATATTAGGAAGGAGTTCTTTACTGTGAGGGTGGTGAGACACTGGCACAGGTTGCCCAGGGAAGCTGTGTGTGCCCCCTCCCTGGAAGTGTTCAAGGCCAGGTAGAACAGGGCTTTGGGCAACTTGGTCTGGTAGGAGGTGTCCCTGCTCATGGCAGGGGGCTGGACCAGATGGGTCCCTTCCAACCCAACCCATTCTGGGATTCTGTGATCACTCTTGAGTGTAATGGAACAATTCAGCCAGAAAACCTCTACTGATGGGGTCCCATTCCCAAGTTGTCCCTCTCCTGTCAGCAGGTGGAGCAGTCACACCTTCATCATATCCTATGGTACATCCCTCCACTCAGACCTCAAAAACAATACAAATGGGAGGTGAGCCACAGCTTAGGGACCTCTTCTCTGTCACTTCCCCAGAAAGCTGCCACCAACGCTCCCATCTGTCATATCCTACATTTGTCAAATCAGTGATATTGATCTGTGGCTGGCTTGGTTCATCTGCTGACCAAAAAACCACTCTCAGCAACAAGGAGGTACTGGAGCAGCTGTTTGATGTAATTAAATATATGTGGGCCAGGGGGAAGAACACTCTCAAGGTCACTGTAGAGGCAGAGAAGGGATTTCTAAATTGTCCTAAATCATCACCAATTTAACTGGCAGTGACAGGCCACACTGGAAAATGAGGACATGACCTGGAGGCATACCTATTGCAATGAAAGGGGAAAATGTGTAGATTAAAATGCAAACAGAGCAAGAAAAGAGCATCAGCAAGGAAACTAAAGGAAGAATGATGGCAAATCAAACAGTTAACATCTAACAAAGAGTGATTGCTTTTCCTTCTGAAGATCTGGAGAATATACAATATTTCTCTGCTTCCCCAATAAATAGTTATAGGACTTTAAACTAAAATGCGCTGCACCTTGCACTGTCAACAGAAGGGCAGTACTTGTTCAGCTGAATAAGCTTCTTTATGGATACAGCCTGCCTGTCTGCTTCTCCCTCTCAGATATTCCCACAAAATATTTCACTGAAATGATGCCAATTATTTTAACCATCATGCTTTGTATTTTATAAATGTACAATTCAATCATGATATAGAAAGGTAGTGGGAATGAAAGAGGAAACAAAATTAAAAAAAAAACCAAACATGGGGAAGGAAGAGCATCAGCAACACATTTTCTGACAATGAAGCCTCATATTACTCAATACAAATATTTTTACTACACAAAAGATCCATACTACCAAACTCAGGCTCTTGTTGAGGCACCCAAGCTGAAAGGGATACCTCTAGCTCTCTTAAAACTATCTGTGGAGAGGAAAGGGGCACACACTCTGATCAGCAATTCTGATCAGATACCCTATTCCCCACTGACTATCAAAGAAAGATAAGCATGCATGTTTCTAACTTCAGCACCTCAGATGGGTGTCTGTATTGGATGTGCTGAACTCAGGCCAAAGTCTGTAACAAGACCCCTGCTAATGGGTAGTAAAAATATATCTATAAACAGGGTAGTAAAAAATATATATATAGCTTAGTTAAATGTACATCTCCTTTATACACAGGAATTGCTTTTCATGTTATGAGTTTCTTCTTATCACCAGTGCTACTGGTATAAGATAAATTCAACAAATAAGAGGGAGAAATAAGAGCAGCTTTTGTCATTTAAGTATCAGCAAAGTGTAGAAGAAGGATATACAAGAACTAAAGGTTTAATGACAGACTAAAGCAGGCTCCCTACCAAAAACAGTGAATAAAAATTTCCGAATCTACACCCTTCCCGCAGATAAAAACACATAAGACTATCAAAAAAGCTTAACAGCAAAAGTTGTCTTTTACTGAGGGCCTTATGACTTGCACAGTGATGTCAATGTGGAGACATCCGTCAATGTCAGCCAGTGGCAGGTCCTGTGGCAGACAGCAGCCCTCAAGTCTCCTACCTGTTTGCACAGCTTATAGCTCTCAAAGCTGAACAAAAGCAACAGACACAGCTGATTTCTTCAGACTATTTTTATAGCTTGAAAGCAAACTTCAAGTCTGCACACCCTCAAATATTTGCAGATTGAATCAGCAAGCCATCGCACTCCCTGTCTGTCCTTAGTCTTTCAATCTGCAAAGTGTCCAACCACTCTGCTCATAAGCAAGGAAAACCTGAGTTCCTATAGGGTGTATAACTTTTTACAGTTGCTCAAAAGCAGTAAAAGACTCCCTCAGTTCTTTTTCCTTCTTTCTCAAAGTCTTTCCCTTCTGTTCAATATGGAATGAAAAATTATATACTTTTTATTTTGTTTAATATTAAACAAGAACAGAAAGAAGCAGAAATGAGAGTCTCAGCCTTGATGTCCTTGACCAGCACTTAGTTGACGCTGTAATAGTGAATTCAGCCTCTAGCCATTTGGGATAAAGATCTGTTCAAAAGCAAAACTGGACCAATAGGGATTGTCAACGCCTCCTTATAGAAAAATTAATCTTCCAGTGTGAGTATGGCTTTTCATTAAGGGTGTAGCTGCAGTCAGTCCTGTGCAATGCTAATGGGAATTCACGATGAAACCTTTCTTCGTCTGTAATTAAATCCCACAAAAGAACATTCCCAAATTTATTTCATAGGAGTATAAAACATAGCTGTACTTGCTGTCTGCTTCTGGTTTTAAACTACTTCACACATGCAGTGAGATTCAGCTTATAAGTGGGGCAAAATTCAGTGTGTAAACACCTCCTGCAAACCCAGGGATGCAGGCAAGGGAGCCTAGAGAGCTACCGAACTGACCAGATGTCTATAGCTGAGGCTGTGCTGAATTTCCCTCTGCACTTTATTGCCCAGCCTGGGTTGATCACCACTGATTGGAACAGAGCTTTGACAAGAACTTCACATACAGACAGGGATTTTGGCATTTGTTTGCTTTGTTGTGAAATCATGATGCATAAAGTGCCCAAGATATCCCTGCTCAGAAGTGGGGGACAGCAGATACTACTATGCCCAGCAGAAACTACCACCACCTTGCCAGATACCTCTGCAGAAATCTCATGCTGCCTCTTGCCAAGCCACTGGGAATTTCTACTTCAACTTGAGTGCTCAAACTTTGCACATCTCCCATCTTTGCTCTGCTTTGCGTTCACTGCTCCATCTGTGTCTCATATCATATTCCCTGCAATCAGAACTGCCACATCCCATTACAAGTCCCATTCCCCAGCATCATCCTGATACAGGAAGACATGTGCCTAACAGGTATCGGTAGGGAACAAGAAGTAAGACTTCAAATTAACATACACATAAATCACTGCATCAAGACTAAATTCTGACTACAAAACAGACAAGTTTTGCCTGAGTGATGTTTCTTTGTCCTGTGTTTCCAGGGCCCTGTGTAGTCCATGCAAGTCCATTTTAACATCTAAAAACCTCTAAAAATGGGGAAGGATGCAAAGATAAAACATAAGCCAAGCTCCAATATACAAACATAACTATTTATGTTTTTAGCATACCAGGCAATATTCTTCCAATAAGAGCATCCAGTAACCAAAAGGATTCCTCTTCATTCTTTGTAATAAGAATCAGGTATCCAGCTATGAAATTCATGCCCTGAAATAGAAAGATAAGTGTATGCATCTTAAAACCCTTAAGAGTTTCTAGTTTATTTCTCTTGATGAAGTGCAAACTGCTGCAGTTCTACGAAGTGTACATGCTAAGTAAAATCTAGTAATAAAGGCTACCGGTTGAGTAAGCTGTTATACCTGCATAATGACAGCTAACAAAGATCAAGGAAAGGAAAATTAGAAGAAAAAGCTTAGTAGTCTGTAATTTACCTTCAATTTTTTTTTTTTAAATCCCAAAGCCCTATCCCAATGTAACTGAAGACTGCTTTGACCAGAACCAAATCACAGCTGTCTGAGATGTGCAGTACAAACACAACACACCTGGACAGTGCAGCTGCAGGAGGAGAATGCCTGACCCAAACACTCTCTAGTAAAAAGTTGCAGCTCCAGCAGCTTTGACAAGCTATTGCTGCTTAGCTTACCAAATGCCTGTCTACAAATCATTTGCTTCCATAATACCCCTAGGACTCCATGAGTGGTAGTCAATGACTGGCCATGATAGCTCATGCCTCTCAACAAGCAAACAGAAGGTAAGCAGTGAAGGGTAGGGGGACTGAAAGAGCTACCAGAAAATTTATGAAAAGTAGTCATGTCATGACTGGCCAAATTCCAACTGTGTGATTTCTGTAACCATTACTGACACACTGACTGGAGAAGTGACCTACAGAACACCCAGGTCACAAACTGGTATTCCTTGTAAACACATTGCCTCTGTGTCAGTTACTTTTTTCTTGTATGAACCATAACACTGCTAAGTTACAGCAACATTGTTGCTTTACATGCACAGTAGTCCACTTTCTAAGCATTTTTAAGCATATCTTTTCCATCATAAACAAGCTGACAACCATAAAGAGCACATCAGTATGACAATACAGAAAAGCTGCCTCTGAGATGCAAGCCCCCACAAAGTCTTCCTAAGCTAACAGAAAATTATCTTTAAATATTTACAGGCTATGAAAGCTGGTGTTGGTTTCATTGCCTTCTTTGGCCTTCTCCCTTTCTTTGGCCTTCTCCCTGTTGTCTCTCCCTCCAAGCTGGACCTCTTCAGCACATCTTATTGCCACAGGCAGCATCACTGCCTCTGGACATCCTGCAGTGCAACTTCCTCTCTGAACATCTGCATTCAATAGATCAGACTCACCTGTCCCATCTCAGAAGGCCTTGCAACTTTCCCAAAACATGAAAACATTAGAACACTGCATCTTCTCCAGTGTTTCATTTTCAAGATTTGAGTCACTACAGCACTTGTTACACAAATGGCTTGGATAAACCTTGCATGGCCTTACGCGGTACTTGGCCTTCTAGCTAGGAAGGCCACTATTTATTTGCATGCTGGTGCTTTGCTTATTTAATTGCATCTGTGGCGACAAGAGGCTGTTTGACATTTAACATGGTATGCACAAAAAGCTACACTGGATCAGACGCTGACAGGACACCAAATTTCCCTGGTTATAGCAGGGTACGCAATGGTGTGCCACTCTCACAGCACGACAACACAAAGCCTCATACACTCCCAGATGGGAGACTTCAATGCCAGTAGGCACCACAAATGCAGCAGCATTATGGAAACATCCACTGAAGAGCCTTTGGTCAGTAAAAACCCTGCAAAACACTTTAAAAATTCCATTTTCCATTCTGGATTTTCTAGTGTTGACAAAGTCTCTCCCATCACGCAGTAAGTATCACTGATAGTAGCCATCTTGATGAAATTTGCTGTTTTATTAGCAGAAAAGGTGATTTCCTGAAACTTTGCTTGGAAACCAGATGCAGACCTTTGGTTTCTGTTACAAATATTTGGACAGAATAGATAACATTACTTCTGTGAGGAGACCAAAGGTGAAAAGGAATCACATAAGGGTTTTTAACTCTTCTTTCATCTTCAATGTTCATCATGCCAAGTAAAATGACAAGATTAGCCACTGATTAAACAGCTAAAGTATCAAAACTTTTTACTAACAATGAGACGTATATTTTGGGTAGAAGCTACCATGAAGTTGGGCATGTATGTTTGTATAACTACCTCTATATAGGAGCCTGACACTTGTAAAAGAGAGTATTCACAATTCTAGCCCTTCTGTTACTCTCAAAAGATTAAACATTATATTTTAATAAATACATAATACTGAAAATATTAAAAAACCTTTATCTTTTACTCCCATTTTACAAATAATTTCTGTACTAAAACTGGTTGGGATGGACAAAAAGATTTGCTTTAGTGACTTAAGTCTAGAGTCCCTCTAAGTCTTCTCCTCTCCAGACTTCAATAAATATACTTTATATCCTTTTAACAGTGTAACAGTTGTATTTACTGTACTAACTTCCTCAGCAAACATGAAGCACATGTATTCTTGGTGAGGAAAGGGAGGAGAAAGAACAGGACTTAATAAGTGAACTGAAAACACATTTTGCTCATGATAGTTCCTAATTCTTTACAATCCTAACGATGGCCTCTTTGTACTTGTCTGTTATGAATCAACTTTTATCTTCTTTGTGTCCCACAAGAAACTTTACAGTACTCAGCAGCGATGATAAGAGCTTTTTTGAGTTGCCACGTAAGGAGCATCAGGCTGAATATCACACAGATTTTCTTCCTACTTGCCTGTCTATACTGGGAGATGGCACCAAATAAATGCTACCACTCCTCCAACTACATGACGCTGCATGAATGCTGCTCTTCCTGTATTTTGGAAAGTGTGACAGAGAAAGCAAAGGACACCGAGATCTCATGATGCCTCATATATACACTGAGGACTGTTTTGGGAAAGATGGCAGGAGGGAAAAAGAAGGACAGGGAAGCTCACTTTCTCCTTCTCTCCAAAGCGACTAATCTTGATACAACCATATGCAATAAAACATTTATTTTGCAGCTATCAAATGGAACCAAATATGGTCAAGTAAGCTACAAAAAAGGCCACAGATAAACTCACAAGGACATTTTAACTTACCTAAGCATTCATTATTTTTACCCTCCCAAGTACCATCTTAAAAACAGAAATCTTGTGGATCTGCTTCTAAAAACGCACATTCAGTGAACAGGAACAACAGCTATCAGCATTGGAATTCAGCACTGTTTAAAAAGCAGCGATTACATACCTGGCAATATCCTACTGCTTTATTATGATGCCCATATGCTACCAACACGTTGTAGAGTGTGTGCTGCAAACATGGATCAGCAGTTTTGCGGAATTTTACATTGTCTGGAAATGTTCTGTTCATGTCTAGACACAAGGGAAAAAAAGACCAATATTAAGATCTGCTCTCTCCTTCACTTTCCAAATAAACCTTTACAGCTTTTCTGAAGTACTACTGAAACTTCATTATGGCTCACTGAAACTGTAGTTTTGGTGGATGGATTTTAAGCACCAGCTTTACCTCCATTTTGGCTAAAAGGCCACCTGCATTCGAGGATAATCTATTCCTAGAAAGATTAATCCTATTAGCATACTGAAACAAATTTCAAGCGGGACTAGAGAAATTCTTCTGCAGATTGGACTCTCTCACCATCTGACTGCAAAGGCTTAAATGAAAGCAAAGCAGACATTTAGACTGACAGGAACAACACATACCAAATTTATCCAACCAAGTGGCATGAAATGAACTGCGCCTTTAGCAAAGCATGTTCACATAACAAATCAGATGAGCTTCCAGTTGACTTATTCGGTGAACTTCTACCAAGCAGTCCCAAACCGCTGTCCTGTTCCTGCAACTGGTGGCTTCAACTTTAAATCATGGTATTTTTAAAAAATTTTTTCAAAAGTTTCTCCACGATGTGACCATGAGAAAAGTTGTTTCTCCATTGGTGCAAGATAATCGAGAAGAAGAGTTATTTTTGATATCTAAGCAGCAAAGCACATCCCATATGCTTCAAGCTCCATCCTAACCCAAGTAAGGACTCTGCAATTACTGACATTTCAAAACATTCATTTCTTCCAGACCAGACATGAATAATAGGACTAATCTCTCCTTACAAAGGTCCAAAAATTAGACAACCAAGTTTGAGCTAGTCACCCTGAACTCCCTTTAGTTGCTGGAAAGAAAGATGCAGAGTTAATTTTTAGCCTGCTTTGCTCTACAAAGAGGGAACCCAAGGTCACTAGTCCAGACCTGTGCATCTGATTTTCAGAAGTTTAAGCTGGGGAGAAAGATTCTAGTCAGAAACTACATTTGAAGTTTTTCAAAACCCAGGAGATTAATAAAATACTAACAGCTGGTTTTGGTTACATTTAACAACAACAACAAATTGGGTTACAGCTAAAAAGAAATAAATCATTAAATATCTATACAGCAGTGCCATTATGTCCCAAGAGTTGTCACTTCTTATCAGTTTTTCCTGCATAAAGGAGGAAGTCTGTTACAGCTTTGACATAAAATTAAGGTGTAAGCAACCAAAGGAAGACAGTCCCTCAAAATCATGATTAGTGTCATAGAAATCACAAGCATTGAAAAGTTATCATACTAATCACTATTTCTTCCTTTTAAAAGTGAACAAATCATTTACAGAAATAGGAGGGCAGGAAAATATTTCACTTCAACTCTCACGTGACTGAAAAGAAAAACACAAGGAAAAAGACAATTCTTTAAAGGATTTGAGCATCAGCCAGACAGTTATAGGATAAATAAGTTTGTTTTGTTTCTTCTTGGTAGGAAAAGCATCTGTGTTAATGCTGACATTTCAGTTATGGCTCTTCCCATCAGCTATTCAGAATAAAGGTGAGGGGGGAGAAGGAAAAGTGCATCACATCCAGAGCAGAGACTAGTCAGACTGCACTCATCTTTAATTTCACAACCTGGGGAAGGCCTGCAGTTGAGAGAATCGGCTCCAATTTGCTTTCTGATTGCAGAGCATGGTTTTTTTCCCATGAGTACTGAGGGAAGTCTTTGCTAATGTTATGAAGGATTTTGAACTTTTATTTATATTTAGCAACAGTATTTTAGTTGGGATGGGCTGGGTACAGAACAAAAACAAAACACAAGAGCTAGAAGTCTTTACCCTCAATAAAAGGTACGGGGCATGGCCTCACAGGACTCCTTATGCCAGATTATTATGTTTTACCACACTACAAGACAACTGCTAGAGCTGACTTGATGGCAGAAGCAGGTGAAAGCTGTTCATTTCACTTGAGCACTTACCCCTACTTTACTACACCCGTCACAGAGAAGATGTTCTACCACCTCCACGCAGTCCACCCTCTGACCTGCTATACCTTAACCTACTTCATTCTTGACAGATGGTGGCATCCAAAGGAATACAGCCTCAAACTAGCCCAGTTTGATGAAAACAAACAAACACACACCATCAGAATTGTTTTCAAGCAGAGAAATTAACATCAGAACTTTATACTGCTAAATAAACCCCAAAACAGCGACCAGCTTGTGGTTGTGCGAAGATCTGCTGGCTACAACCAAACTAGGTGGAGGAGCATGGGACCAGGAAGGCAACCACAAAGAAAAAACCAGCTACTCCTTTGCAGTAAATTCAGATCAAATCCCAAGAGCATTTTTAGAGGATTTTTCAGTGCTGTCAGGAGGCAGTGTTATGGTGAATGGTGAAACAAAACCAACAGCTTTCCTTTCCTGTTGATTAATCTCTGTGCATCTGCTCCAAGAAAACCATTGGCTTGTCTCTTCCCTTTCACAGGTCTGTAGTATTTCTACCTCTTATTCAGTAACGCAAACAAAGGCAGAAAGCCACAATAGCCACAGTGCACAAAACAGATACCTATTCTGAAACCACAATTGTTGATGCTGTTTCTGGACCAAAGAGGTTTAAATCTGCAGTCCAGAAAACTAACGCTTTTGTACCAGTCTTGTACTTTTCATATTTAGGGTACTTCAAAAGTCAGGCACCTACAGATCAGTCTTCTTCCTCTTGCTATCCCCATCCTCTACTCCATTTATGATCATTTCTTTGCTACTGCTACATCTATAACTTGCATCTGCTCTCAATAGCTTCCAGGCAGGCTTTTTTTTTTTCCTTACTTAGTAAAGAACAGAAAAAAAATTCACCTCAACTCCCAACTCCAAGCATTCAGAAACTCCACTGCAACCTCCAGAATAATGAGGTTATGTCATCAATTACAACCTGTAAATATACTTAAAGGGTATTTTATTTTTGTTATAACTGGATATTTAGGACTCATCTTCAAGCTTTTGCAACACCAGGAATTATAAATTGTTTTGGAAGTTTGCAGGGTTTTTGTTTTGTTTTTTAAGATCAAGTTTGCTATCAACTAAGACTAGAGAAACCAAGCTTGACATCCCCCACCACAGGCGCCAAGGAGCAGTTCAGTATCTTGCAGCAATCAAGAAAGCAAACAGCACTGGTATTTCCTACAAAAGAACAGTAATGCCACTGTATAAATCTGAGAAGAACCTGCATAAATTCCAGTCCCCTTCACCTCCAGAAGATGATACCAGAATTGGAGAAATTATAGAAGAGAATAGCAACAAGGAAGATCTCAAGTATGAAATGGCTACCATACGTACTATAAAAGTAGATTAGAGGTCCTTTGTTTGGAGGGAGATGCTTATGAGCAAGACAACACAAATCTGCAAAATCATGAGCAAATTACATGAAAAAGGAGCAATCAGAGGTTTGCTGTGAATTTTTGTGGCATACGACTCTCCAAACCACAGATGACTGGAGCCTAGGAAGAACATTCTGAGGACCTATCACTACACACTCTACTCCTACATGCCAAAACAGCTAAAGCAAGAACTGGAGAAGACCAGACCAGGTAGCTGTTTGGATATGACCTGACATGGCTTCTCTTACAGAGAGTCAGAAGAGCTGACACTGCTGTTCCCCTTGCTCTTGCACGGTTAAATGCCCTAAACTCACGTGAAAATTCCCAACCTTCACTAATAGTTTAACCTCTTTGAGAGAGCCTTATTAGTGCTTTGAGAGTGAAACATTCACTGTCTCCAGTGAAGGGGCAATGGCTGTTGTTTGAATCGCTTCTCTGAACCCATGAGAAGCTAAGCTAAGATCCAGCAACTAATATCCAGTCCATGCAGCCAGATCCTTTTGCCAGTGGTCACGAGGTACAAAGCAGGCTCGGGGGACTGACAGATCTCAGACCTTGGGTTTCTCGGCACCTACAACTCTTCATGAAAAAGGAGAGCAGAAAAGTGGATATTTGCTGCATGGACTTGCAGACACAGACATACTTACTCTGAAATCCAATGGCCTGGCCTAAAAGAGGAGTACTGCAAGGAAGCCACATCAACTTACACCCCAACCTTTTTGTAACCAGCACAGAGCCTTTGCATTAGGAGGACAGCCACGTTTTATCCTGCCAACATCATCTGTCCTACTAAACTTTACTATAATAGGGCATGAACAACAAAGCTCAGCAGGAGTGCATGCCCTTCTAAATGCGTACATAAACTAAGTCATGAAAATTTCCATCAAAACTTAGAAACCTGCATTCTTTAAGCTCTTATTTTTATGTTTAGAGCAAGAAGCCTGCTTTCTTCTACATTTCTCCTTAAAAAACCCACAAACAGTAAGTCCAAACAGCAAACATCATATAAAACAAATAAAGCCCATCAGTTAAGAATCAGCAAGTTAACAGGCGAAAACGGTGAAAGGAGAGCTTAGATTATTTGGCTGAAAGACTTCTATTGCTATTACTAACCAGGTTTTTCCTTAAAGATTAGATCATTTCTCTACACAGTCTACCTGCACTTTTTAACCTGACTACATCCTATTAAAGTCATTCCCATATTGAAAATAAGTTCCAAAAGTATACAAAAATTGTTAGGAGTGTCTAGGCATGTAAAATAAACAGGACACATTGGCTCTTACAGTTGTTTTAAATTGAATTTGAAATGAAGTTTTTGGTTGGCCTTGTCCTCCTGCCCCTTCCCCTGGAAAAAAAAATAAATTAAAAATAAAGTATGTTTGTTGTTCTCCATTTTTAAACTGCAGCATCGTCCTGGGCTATCACTTCACAGCCTGACCACAGGACTAAATATACCACAATTGCCTGAAAGTTTTGGAAACTGCAGACATGAAAAGTGAATAGCAGCAAGATTCCACATCCTACTTTAGTCTACTGTTAAAAACAACTGCAGTGATGGGAAAACAACATGGGCAGAAAAACTGAATGTAAGACAACTATTTGCACTGAAACAGTCCTCAGCTCAAGTCCACTATAAAGCTTGCAGTCAACAGGAGCACTAAGTTTATTAGACACAAATTTTCCATTCACCTAAGTATTTCACTCCTTCCACGCCTCCTATATATTTACATTGTTTCTTCCTTTCTGAAGGGAAACCTATCACTCTGGAGACCAAGGTCCTACTTTTTTTTCTCCTTCAATAAAACTCTCCAAGCCATTTATCTTTATCCTTTCCCTCACTTGCTCCTTGTTAGTTTTTTCTTCTGCAGTTTTCCAATAGGTGCAGTGGCTCCTTCAAACCTTCATTTCCTCCATAATTCACAAGTAGAGCTTTATCTTCTTCTGTAATTTTTCCTCCCCTACAGATATATTTTTGTTTTGTGGTATAACCTGTGTGAAAAGCCACTTAGTGTTATGGTATGATCCTTCATGCCGTTGTCTGGAACTGGAAAAGAAATTGCAACTCCTTCTTGCAGCAATTGTACCCCAACTGAATAGTGTTTGCTCTTTCTCCAGGGCCTTTACTAAGGCTGGCTTTGGAAAGTCATTTTAGTAGCTCCCTCTGTATTCATAGTTAGAGCTTTGTTGTTCCTAGTTTTGAGCCTGAGGATTTCTGGCTAGTCTTCATATTTGTAGGAATATGAAAGTTTATGATCCAAAATGCCTTACTAAGGCGTGTAGTCCCAAAAGCCCACAGTGCTGCTGCTGTTGTGGGGAGAGATGGAGCAGAAACTCAACATTAACCAAAAAGGGTTCAGATGGTTATCCAACTCGGAAAAAAAAAATATAAATCCATCAAGTCCCAACTTCAGCTACCTGGCTTTTTCAAGATAAAAAAGATGACAACTGCACCTGCCAGTCTAACAAAACAACATCCGCATTGCGCTTGTCCAGCGCGGAGCACAACCTCTTGACCCATTAACTGGGCAACTCAGCCAATATCAGCTTCTCTACACAGGCTCTGCTGCAGCAGGCTGAAAAGTTTCAGGACAAGTATCAGTTACATTAAATGTCTACTTGCTTGCCCTCCCCTACTGCCTCCTTTAAACACTCAGTGGGCCAGGCTAAGGTCTGGTTGCCTTAATACCATTTCACCACTATTGGCTACTGATGAATGTTCACAGAGAGCATGCATTAACCTGGATTAGTAGAGGAGGGGTATTTCTCCTCCTAAACTTCCCTTATTTCAGAGATTTACGTTAGGATTTCATGTATCATGTGGATTTTCCCACCCCTCAGTTTGTCAGATTCCTTTTTAAACCACTTGGTATTTCCGGCCTCAGCAGCACCCTCCAGTAACAAGTGCCCCAATTCAGTGATGTGCTCTTCTATACCTGCAGGATGGCAAATCTCATTCAGTGTCTTTGGTTCTTATGTTACAAGAAACAATTGCTCCCCATTCGACCTCTCTACATAATTTATAATTCATATAGCTCTATCAGCAGCTTCTTCTCAGCAATCTTCCTCAAGCTGAAATGCCAGCCTACTTCATCTGCCTCATACAGACACTGTACCACATCTACAACCATCCCTGCTGCTCTTACAGTGTCGCATTGGGGCAGAAGAAAGGAGGAACTGACTCAAAGACAGGTCTCATGGTACAAAGCTGTAGCTCTGCATTCACTCAGGAGATGACAAAATACTGTTTTCTAGTTTGCTCTCTGTTCCTTCCCAAATAATTTCTAATCTTCCTTAATGCTTTTGTCCACGTGATGAACCCGGAAAGATCTGTGTTGTTAAAGAGCTTATGGCTAATCTAATTTATATGTTAATTTAGCACTTAAACCACTACTACAGAAACGTGAAGTCTTCCATGACACAACTTGATCTCTAACATTTAAGGACATAGGACAGATGAACAGTGTTATCAAGGCAATAACCTGTTTTAATTGCTTCAACCAGCTTGTCATTCTTCTCTCCTTCAAGCAGTCTGTGATAATATCCAGGGTTTTGTTCCATGTTGGCTTGGGCTCCACTCACAATCATCCAGACCAGTGCACGGTGTTCATTTGGGATGCCTTTCCTGATATATCTCTTCACTGCAAAACATGAAGATTGATGTTTAAAAAAAAAATAAATCCAGCTGTATTTTTCTTTTGGAAACAGAAAGTTGAGAAGTCATAGAAAAACTCTTGACTAGAGATTATCGTGCTTTCTCTCCTATACTACCATTTAGGGCAGGCATTTCCTTCTCAGCTACATAGTATATTCTAGATTCACTCCTAAGTTCTTGCCACTCAGACATACCACACAGATCTCTAGACCCAGGCTTTCCTCCCTTCTCTCTTCCCTCATCAGGATTTTGAATCCTTTCCTCTTCTTCCTGTCTTTCCAGATAGAGATATGAACAGCAAAGTTTCCCCTTGATCTTTGCCCTTATGCATTCAGACAAGCACTGACTTTTTATTTCCCAGCATTTCTAATGGCCTCTGACATGATAGCCCTTTCCATGTGCTTGATTATGCTTTGGCGTAAATGGCTATGTTAACATAACCCTAGGATTTAGCACCTAACCACTGAAATCATAGCGGAAACTGAGAAATATGAAATACATGGCTACTGTTTGCATGAACCTCTGGAAGAAATGGAGATGTCAGTGAGCAGCAGATGACTTCTCAAAAAATAGCTGGGGAAGTCTTTTCAAATCTCAAGTAGCTCTCATGCCTTGCATCACATTCATCATCAGAGTTTGCTTTGGGTTTTTTTTAGGCAGATGATTCATTTTAAATAACTAGGATGCAAGATTGCAGGAAGAAGCATCAGGCTAATGACAGCCAAAGCAGCTTCCTCTTGGGGATGGTATGAAAAATATTAATAAGGAGCCAACACTGCTCATTGATACAGAATCCTAAATCAGCAATACTCCTTCTGACCCAAAAAGACAGCTGAATGTTTGAGATCCTTCTGCTTTTTCCAAGGAGACGAAACTAAGAAAAGAATCAAGTATTTAGTACTAAATAAATGAGACCATACCAATCAGAATATAAACTTCTTATCCCTAAGTTCTATAGGACTCAAAGGAGAGTGGGGCTTTTTATTCCACCCACACGCACATACAAGATCGTTACCTAACCTGGTTTTATCTAACCACAATGGTCTGTAACTCAAGATAAGTGCTACCTGAATTAAAGGCCTTAAAAACGGCAGTGAAACACGATTTTACAACAACTCAGTCAGTTGCCTTCTAAATACATTCCCCCTAATTGCAGCTGCCTATCCTTTAGGAGCCAAAGCTGCTTTCCCAATGTCAACAGAGAGATCCATGTATCTCTAATAAGCATTTCACTCACCTAAAATCTGGAACTTTCTCTCAAATAAACACTCCTACCCTTAACATTTGTAATAAATAGCTGGTCTTCAGGGTACATTTTTTGTTTAGCTTTTCAATGAGGATGTCTCTACTGTTCCAGCTGTAAAGCAACTTTAACTACAACTTTATTTTTGACAGGCTAGAAATAATTTTTTTTCCATGGTTATTTAATAATGCCTACTCCATCTTCTTTACAAGATTTTGAACCCTAATGCTCAAGAAATCCTATAGATGGGCATGCAAATACAGGAATGAGTACGATGAACCAGTCTCATTTAGGTCAGCAAGAAGAGACATTCGGATGAGCCTGTGAATGTCTCCAGAAGCATATTTACTGGCTAAACTAGTGTATTATCATATTTTAACATATAATTTCAATGTTGGGTTTTTTTTCTGGAACAACTGCCAATTCTGAAAGCACACCCATCATCTGCATCCAACAATACATACTAAATTCAAGAGAAGCAGAGACAAGCCTTTGACATTGGCACAAGGAGAAAGCAACCCTGCAGCACAGCATACACTCATTATTCCTCAGTGTCATCGTCCTCATGGCAATAGGCAGACAGAGGCTTGTATCGCCCCAAGTGACTCCCTACCCCAGCTCCCCCACTCCCCAAGGGATGTAAAAGCCCTTTACATCGTGCCTTTCTTCCTCACACCATTATAATATTTGTCAGGATCTGCAAACTGGCATACGGAAGCAGTGAAGTAGTTTTCAAAACAAGGACAGCTGCAATTAAATATGTTTTATATACTCATATATCACATATATATATATATTTATCACATTATATACATTCAATTATATTGTTCTACACAAATATGAATTTATTTTGTTTTCTGTAGGCCCTCTTCCACATTATCCTCAGGAACTTTCGTTAAGCCCACAACAGTCCACACCGCAGAACATCCTCCCACTGTAACATTTAAGAAGCTTTCACAAATGAAGCTGGATTGTGCACGTGTCTTCAGCCACACACCCAACTCCAGCGGTAAACCAAGGGCTTGATCTCCAAAGTAGCACTGCTAAATACCATCCAGCCCTGAGCATCCGCACTCAGAATCACTTCCAGGACAACTGTGATGTATACAACAGTCTAAGCTTTAAAACATGTGATAAAGAAGTATCTTTATGTGAAATTTTTGCCTCTGTTCGTTAACAAAATATGAAACATCAATTATTTTTAAGCAAACAAAAGTAGCCTCAATAATCCTATTACCTCTGACACCCAGTGTCAGTTTCCAGAGGCTCAGAGTCACATTTGGTAATACAGGATTTCAGAATGGTTTGGGTTGGAAGGGACTTTAACGATCATCTGGTCCAATCCCCCTGCCATGGGCAGGGACACCTCCCACCAGATCAGGCTGCTCAAAGCCCTGTCCAACCTGGCCTTGAACACTTCCAGGGATGGGGCATCCACAACTTCCCTGGGCAACCTGTGCCAGTGTCTCACCACGCTCACAGTAAAGAATTTCTTCCTAACATCTCATCTAAATCTGCCCTCTTCCAGTTTGAAGCCATTCCCTCTCATTCTATCACTACCTGCCCTTGTAAAAGGTCCCTCCCCAGCTTTCCTGTAGGACCCCTTCAGGAAGTGGAAGGCCACAATAAGGTCCCCCCAGAGCCTTCTCCTCTCCAGGCTGAACAGCCCCAACTCTCTCAGCCTGTCTTCATAGTGGAGGTGCTCCAGCCTCTGATCATCTTTGTGGCCCTCCTCTGAATCTGCTCCAACAGGTCCATGTCCTTATGTTGAGGCCTTCAGAGTTGAACACAGTACCCCAGACAGGGTCTCACAAGAGCAGAACAAATGTTCATCTTTTCCCCTCATTAACACTGTTTCACACTCTAGCACAGACGGACTAAGTGTACGTAGGAAAACCCCATTTAAAACAAAAAATTATCTTGCATAATTAGAAAAGTGTAATTTTGAAAAGCACCTGCAGTTTTAAGTTACTAATAATTACTGTTGAATGCTGAGGAACTTAACTTGGACCCTAGAGGAAAAATTCTACAAAAGAGCAGAAAATAGCACACAAGAAGGAATTGAAAGTTTTATTTTATTAATACTTCATAAACAAAGCAGATCTGTGCTGTAAGTGTTCAAATTACAGACAAACACAAAAGCCTACTTTATAAGATGATCCTTCCTTCCTCCAACCCCTGGGCTGGAACAGAAGTACTCCTGTTACAACTACTGTGTAGTACCATCACTTTCACCTTTCACTGTATTTTATCAGCCTCAAAAATCAGAAAGCACCTTCTGCTACTGGTTAATTTTGACTAATCCACTTACAGTCAAATTCTTTTACACAGCACAATTTTGGTCAGAATTAAGCTACTTTGGGTAATCATGTCAGACAGCTTGTTGCCTGCCTGCAAGCAAGCCAGAGCAGAAAGCTGTCTTATGGTCCCAAAAAGAGAGCAGCCGAATGGAGAAAAGCAAAAATTAAAACGAACTCAGTAGCATCAGAGAGAGAAGAGGCAAGTGACTGAACACTGACTGGAAATTCACACGTGCAGAGGAGAGAGTGAAGGTAACAAGGGTAGTAGGGGAAACAAAATATCAGAAAATAACAAAAAGGAAGAGACTGGATAACAAGCAAGAGCAACAGTCAGCCAAAATTCCCATGACCCGCCCTGCTAGAAGGCTGTAATCCAGAACAACAGGATACACTGCTTAATTACCGCTGTTAAAATGTGGGCTAATTATCTTTCTTTACAGTAGAACAGAATTATGTACATACATACCACCCTGGGCATGAGGCAAACCCAGTAGCATGTGAACACGCAACGTTTCCAAACCGGAAAATTAACACAGGTCATAGCTTCTTCCTGTTCACCTGAACAGGAATTATGAGCTTCTCTGTGTGTAAAGGCAAATAGGTGTGGAGCTACTGAGATACTACATGTGCAATGCCTCTCTCACAGCTACTCGCAGCAGGACGCATTTTGAAAAGGCCCCTAGTAGAGCTCAAAATAGAGATATGAGTTGGCAGGTAACAGCTACTGCGTCCAGCAAATCAAACATCCTTCTCAGTTCTAGCTTATGGCCGACTCATAGCAGAAGGGAAGTTAATCAGAACCAGCAGGTCCTGAGCAAAGCGTCAGAGCAATGAAGTGAGGTGTTGGAGGAGGGAAATGCAGAGCATCAGCAGGCACACCTTCTGCTCTCTGACTGCCTGTGAGGAAATCACTGCAGGATCATCTTGCAGGGTCATCTTGCAGGATAGAGCATGCACCAAAACAGCTGCTTACATAATTCTAAGCGCAAATGCCACAGACTTCAGTCTTAATACTGATAAAAGAAGGGAAGTATTTAAAAATCAGTAATTGTACATGTTAACCTATTGCTCTCCTCTTCTGAGGTATCAGTTGAGGCTAATGAGGGAGGCTTATTGTAATAACTTCAAACTTACGCTCAGACTACATTTCCTCAATGTTATTTACTCCAGTCACTCTCCTTAGAATTATATATTACATAGATACATGAGAATGCATAGTCTACAAATGCAAGTACCTTTAGTCAGTAACATCAAAGATGATGCACCCACCTACAAGGGCTTGCTTACAGTCAAAAGCCACTGCCTGTGTCCACTCAGTGAATTTATAGTATCCCATTTTTCACAGACAGGTGCCTGTTAGAGATTATTAACACCACGTTCATGGTTATTGCCATTACATGACCAGTGGGCCAGCATGGCCACCAGAACTGAAGCCTGGCGGACACTTTAGAGATCTGATCAAAGTTTTGGCTCCAAAATAAGACCAAAGGCATTCACACTGTTTGTATCACAGTAGAGTTCTGTGTGTACAATGCTGGAACAGGTAACACAAGGGAAAAGAAACACAACTAACTCACAGAAATTGCTAAAAGCTGCCGCTGTCACAGTTTGCACATTTTAGAGAAGAAGGAGATGAATTAAAACCTGAGGTTGTTTTCCCAGAACAACTAGAAGACTAAGTTCTACAGAATCTCAAAATCCTTGCTAATTCAAACTACCACACAGTTATTGCTATATTAAAACTTGAAACCCTAAACAAAAGCTTCTTTACATTTGGAAGAAAAAGAAGAGAGTAGAAGTAGCTACTGTCTAGTTAGCAGCATATAATCTAGCAGCTATGGCTCAAACCTACATTTTTCTGGAATTCCTCAGCCTTAAAACAGACATCTGTACACTGAATATACTGTCATACTTAAGTGTCTCACTAGTCACCATTCTTGGTGCCAAGAAAAAAAACCAAACCTAAACAAAACAAATTAAAAACCACCCCAGAACAACAAAACCACTAGAATTAGCAGTCAAGGTCTACACCTGAGGTACAGCTCTAAATATTCAGCTATGTTATAGTCAGTGTCTGATGAACTTTCACTTACTTCTACTCACTTTTTCTTTAACATACTTATACAGAAACGTGCCCAACTCCAAAAGACTCCCAAGAGAAAGCAAGCTGAATAGCATCATTAAGAGCGAAGATGATGAAGAAAATGAAACTTCTATGAAAAAAATAACCCAGAGAAAGAGCAGGAGGAAAATCCCTCACCCTTTAGTCTCACAGGATTCCCTGCCATCTTTCAACTCCCTTCCATCTTTCAACTCCCTCCATTTATCTCTGCCTGTCCCTCTTGCAAGATAAAGCACTACTATAGGTTTTCTTGCATTTTGAAGTGGCCATTCACAGTTCCATCAGCATTTTATCCAACGTTGTGTCAGCTCTTGCATTAATTTTACTTTCTTCACTTCATAAGACATTTAGCATCAGTTCTTCATGCACACCTTTTCTAGCCATGAGGCAAATGGCATTTTACGAAAGAAGGATAAGGAGAGCAAGAAAATCTCAGCAATCTAAAAACCTAAAAGAGTCAGCACCTGAGAGTCCCAACATCCTGATCCTTGGGGTTCAAGACAGTATCTTCTACATAATCTGTGTTTTCTTTAAAAAGACATAAAAGCAGAACATACAACAGCTGCAAAACAGCTGGCATTTTGAAGTGCCAGTGGCCATAATCTCTGGGTTACAGGTGTAATAAAATAGTATAGCGTATGCCAAAGAAGGATTACTCCTGTGCAAGCTTTAAATCAAATCAACAATCTTCCTAACAGCAGCATACTTGCTTATGTATTAACACTGTTTTTCATTTGAAGACAAAAATAGTATTTTAACATTCAAAATTGCAAGACAAATTAATATGATATATATTGGTTCCAACATAATGCACGCTTACCTATAAACAGACATACAGCTCACCTTTTAAACTCTTCTGTATACTGTTATTCCCCTTTAGGAGCTTGGACCATTTTATTGCTCTTCTAGTGAGTACCACCAGGTATCTGGAAAAGAATGCTTCGTAGGATGCATAGTCAAAGTCTTCTGGCCTTTCAAACCCATATGGATCAACCCTGCAAAAGAAAAGAGAATTCTTGTAGAAATGTTTCTACATACCTACAGCCAAAAAAAAAATGCAAGTATGCTTTTAATAACCTCCAGTTGCTATTTCTAAAAAGAGCTCAGAACTCCCTTCTCCCAACAAAAACCTACTTCACACAAACTGTTACACTCCATTTAGCATATCAAAGCTGTTTAAGTAAATGAATTTAAACATGCACTGTTCAGTCAGTTTTACAGATTTTGCTACTTTTAGAAGTAAGGAATTTTCAGAGTAAAGGATCTGTTGTGAGCAAAATTGACCCAAATTCTGACCACACAGAAGGCTGGAGGTATTTTTCTCTGTAATACAAACAGCTGAAAAGTATGAAGGTAGAGTAGAACAGCTCATATATGGCCTGAACTCACTTTCCACGCAGCCCTGCACTGAAAAATGACAACAAAAAGAACACTTTACAAAGATTATTTTTAGCAGGGCTTATTTCTGAAATTATCTTCATGAAAGTATACAGTTTTGAAAAAAACCCCATAAATCCTTGTGTCTGCCTTCTTCATATGCAGTATCAAAAATGCTTATTTTACTATTTTGAACAATTTTTTAATGTTACATCACATTATCTCAGGCAGCACGGCACTGATGGAGTTTCAGAAGTGCAAGTCTGATTCTGTTTTAGCTTGATACATCAAGTCACTTCGCTAAACTAGATTTATGGCAACTTCCCAGGATGCTTTATACCTGCTGATGATCACTCAAGTACAGGCAGACGGGTCTGTCCATGCAGAAAAGTTTGCAAGACAGACATCAAGGCTTAACTTCCAAAAACGCTGCCTATTTCATGGAGAAGGGGTTTCCCCACGGAGTGGCACTGGCACAGCCTTGGGTAAACTCTGGCTCACAGGATTGTCATGGGCAGTAAAGCATGAATCAGAAGAGGAACATTTTAATATTCCGACCTCAAATTGGTATCACCTAATCAGCAGCTGGAAGAGTCACCTTGGTATTCACATACTGCTCTAATATAACACAAAAACCACAGGTGTAAGAACACCAAATCCCTCGCACAGGTTTCTCTGAAGACACAGAATAGAGGAACGTTCCAAAACCCCTAACACCTCCGTGAAAACACAGCTCATATTTATTACTGCGACTGTCCAGGCAGCAAGTACAGATTAATTTCATGCTCGCACTCCATTCCCGAGGTAAAAAAGGAACATAAAGAGTCAGGAAGTACGGTTTCAAGGAAGTTACCTTCCCCAACCTGCCTCCAAGCAGTGAAAGGTATCACTGCTCCTGGGTGCCCTCACGGTAACAGCGGCAGCCTCTGCCGGGCTGCGCCGGGGCTCTTCTCCAGAGCCCCCGGAGCTCCCCCGACCATTTCCCGTCTCCCGCGGCCGTTACCTGAGGCCGCCCCCTCACAACCTCCAGCGCTTTGAGAGGGACATTTCGCCTCCTCCGGGTTAACCGGCTCCACACGGGCCCAGGGAGGAGAAAGCGAAGCGCC